TAGAACCTGTTCTGTATAAGGGCAAGTACAGTAGTTCTTCATGCTTAAGTTAAATTTTGGGGAGAAAGCATGCCATTATAAAATACAGTCATGCCTCAGTACCCACAGGGATTGGTTCCAGGACCTGCTGTGGATACCATGATGTGAGGATTTTCAAGTCTCTTTACATATGGTGTAGTATTTGCATGTAACCTATGCATATCCTTCTATATATTTTAAATAGTCTCTAGATTATTTATAATATGTAATACAATGTAAGTGCTTGTAAATGCTGTTATACTGTATTGTTTAGGGAATAATGACAAGGAAAAATGTCTGTACATATTCAGTACAGACACAGTCATCATAGGCTTAACTATATAGTACATGTCAGCAACAACATTAACATTGTTTTTCTGGATATTTTCAATCCGTCGTTGTTAGAATTTGTGGATTCGGAACCTGCAGAAATGAAGGGCCATCTGTACCCAAGATTCCTACTCACACTCAGAAAGTTCACTTGAATGTATCATGTTTACTGGAAGTAAAAGGACTCATTTTTAGCTACTTTTAGATGCACATAAGGAATTTAGCTATTTGCTATGTATAAAAACTTAAGAAGAACAATGGAATATTAGAGCTGGTGACAGATGGTGAATGCTGGTCTTCAGTGTCCACAAAAACAAAAAACAAAACAACACAGGAATTAGACTGCACCAGGAATAAATTTAAAGTAAATTTCTGATCAAGCATCACCATCAGCCAAAAAGCATGGTGCAAAGGAAGATATAGGCTTTGGAGGCAGATAAAACTGTCAGGAAAACTTCAGCTTTACTGTTTCGTAGCTGTCTGACCTTGGTCCCTTTCTGTGCCTGTTTGCTCAACTATGAAGAGAGCCTGCTTTGCAGGGTCACCACAGGAATGAAGTGGGACGAGATTTATACAGCACCTATCACAGGCCTGGCTCATGAGGAGCCCCAATTAAATCGTAGCTGCTGTTGTCACCACCACCTCCAGCACCATAGGCTTTATTCAGTGTTTGAAGGGCCTGAGACAGATCAATGCTGGAAGTTTCCAAGGAAAGGAAACAATACAATTTATAATTATTTATGTGTGGCATGGCTATCGGAGAGGAATAGAGGGGCCCTGTCCTGTTGAAGGCAGGCCCCATCCTATTTGTCTACATTTTCAGTGCCAGGTACCTAAGTGTGAACATTTCATTCTTATAATAGTTTCAGGGATAAACTGAGTTGAGTGATATCCCTTTAAAAAGAGGCTCTTTTCTTGCCAAAAAAAGAGAGCAGCTGATCACAGTCATGGTTACTATGTACAGTCTTGTTCTTGACATTTAAAAAGATCCAGAAAAGAGCTTCAAAAGTTCATCCAAAAGTGGATAGAAAGTAGGTGGTGGGAAGACAGGCTACCCGAGAGTTGGAGTCATTCACTCCAGACAAGAGAGGGTTTGACAGATTTCAAATGTGTTAAGTGTTAGGATGGTGATGCTGCTACTCTGCTACCTTTCATCTCCAGGGAACACAAGGGCTCCTCTCAGTACCTTTTCTTGGGTGGATGACTTCCCTTTCTGAAGAAAATAATTCAACTAGATGGCCTTTCGAGATCTCTTCTAGTTCTAAGTCTGCACAAATATGAAACAGCAAACAGACACTTAGCTCATCACGGCGGAGTGGCTTTTCAGTTGCATCCTGTTTAAAAGGAGGTTGAGGGAGCCTGGTAAGGTAGGCAGAGTGGGAGCCAGGAGTCAGGCAGAGCTGGGTTTGCATCCACCTCTGAAATTCACTAATGGGCAAGTGAAGGGACACAACTCGACTCAATTGTATGCAGCCTGCAAATAACCTCTGCCTCCTAGGGTTCTTAAAAGGATGAACAAAGTTAATGTTGGCAAGGCATCAAATATTTTGACTGGCGCATTATAGGCCTTGGATAAATTAGGGCTATTATTCTGCTATTATTCTAGTTGGCTAAAAATAAATGGGTTGAATAGGTGACTATCATAAAAAAAGAGCAATGCCATTCTGGTTATAGTTTTACTGTGCTAGTAAAACTACAGATTAAAGTTAGCAGACTGACACCACGCCCCGACCCCACCCCATGTCCCAAGGATCCATTCTGCTTGTCCATGACAAAGAATGTTTGAGGGGGCAAATTATTAACTAGTTTGGTGCAAGTAGGACTCTTGGTAGGAATCTGGTTTCTCTTGGTAGGAATCTGGTTTCTCTCACTGTCACCACAAGAATCAAATGAATTACTTCAAAAAGGTTTCAAATACATTTCCAAGTATAAGGAATATATCACATCTCACTGACTTGCAATTCACACCAAGCATAGTAAAAACATCAGTCAAAAAATAGACTTGCAAACCAAACTGATTGTCAGGAACTGTAATTAGGATTTTTCTCCTTCACGAATGATATAAAGCTAAAAATAAAAGCCATAAAGAAATTCAACAACTTTCACATAGCCATTAAATGCAGTGGTCAGAGCCTTAGACTGAATAAAAGAAACTCCTGCCCAGCTGCAGTGGCTCAGTGGTTGAGCGTTGAGCTCAAGGTTCAATTCCTGGTCAGGGCACATGCCTGGGTTGCGGGTTCGATCCCTGATCATGCTGGAGGCAGCCGATCAATGATTCTCTGTCATCATTGATGTTTCTATATCTCTCTCCCTCTCCCTTCATCCATGAAATCAATAAAAATATGTTAAAAAATAATAAATAAAAGAACTCCTATTACTATCAGAATTTTCCATAAACTGTAATATTTTGGTGCTGCATCCATAAGGTATTACATTTTTATCATTTATAGAAAGATGCTGGAGTCCAAGACAGGACAGCACTTGCGTTTGTTTTTTACCCATAGTGGGGCCTGTGCAGGATGCCGGGAGGCTGTGGAGAATTGGAAAAGACAGAGGAAGTACAAGGTACAAACATGCGCATAAAGTGAGGCCCATGGAGAGCTGGGCCAGAAACACAGGACTGTTTCCTGAAGCCCCGTGTGCTGTTCGGAGAATTGGACTTGGCTTGGAAAGCATGTCCTGTTTCCATCCAAGGGGGACCTGGTTACAGCTGATAGAACCAAACCCGGCAGACAGACAAGGGAGCAGAACAATGCACTTTGATCTGCCGGAGTCATATGAAAGAGCAGCTTGTTTTTGTTGGTGAGTAAGCACAGGCATGACAAATGGTAAAATGACCCTATACACATCAGGGAGCCGGGAGAGACCCGATGTAGATGCCTGTCAATATTAGGTCAATGAAGGCTACTGTGCCATTCCATCAATCCTAAGCAGGAACCTCACACGATAATGAAGCAGCCCTTACAGGACCACATGCAACTTTTACACCGTGGACCCAAGTTAAAATTCATGTTTTTAAAACCATAAAAATTTCAAGTAGCAGCAAACCACTGAGGTATTGAACCAGCCTACAGAAGCAAAACCCAAAGTCTCAGCAGGCTCACATTAGGCCCATCATTCTCACAACACTTTGTTAGAAGTGGGGTATATACAAACAGTCCTTTGAAATTTACCATGTCTATTCTTACTTTGCTTCAAGTCATCATGTTATTATGCTTCCCTGAAACCATAGATATTACAAATGTGACTGCATAGTACTTATAAGCAGGTTCATTACTGTGTGTGTGTGTGTGTGTGTGTAATAATTGTACAAAAGAAACAAACTAACATGGGAAAAACCTAACATGGCAACTAAGAGAAAAAATCAAGAACATCCTGGAAAGAAAAAACAACAAAACAAAAATTAAGGAGAAGACAAGTATCCATGATGCTGAATATTAAGTTCAAAGACCTTGTTACCAAAAATTTTTGTTAAAGTTAAAGCTTTACTTTCATATGCCTCTTTCTGAATCCCCTTGAACAGACCTGTCTAAATTGCAGATTCTCTCAGTGTGTGAACGGCTTCTCAGCGGCTTACTCAGTATTTGAGGCCACTTGGAGAAATGCCAGTAGAAGTGTGCTCAGAGGTTAGAGAGCTACTGGCTTGAAGGGATAGAGGGGACTTTCAGAAACGCTTACCTCAATACCAAGGAGCAACTCCCGTGTTTGGAGTAGCTAAATAGTTCAACCCTGTGAGGTAACACCATGTTTGATTTTGACAAGGGATAGCTGATCCACAAAACCTAAATTCTAAACTTAAAATGAAAGGTGTTAATTTATAATTAAGGGGTAAGAAGATCTCCTTATCTGGATTTTGATAGGGATGACACATTCTCTACGATACGCTTAAAGTGAGGGTCATGAAGACTCTGTTGGAGCTTTGGTGACAAGCAGTTGCTAAATATTTTGAGGCATATTCCTTCTCATGTCCTTCCAGATTAAGCTTTCCTTTATTGAATGTTCCCTTCTTCGCTTTCTTTTTTCTTTTTCTTTTTTACTGAAAAATATATATTAATGCTTCAGTTCATTTTGGAAATGTGTCTTGTGAAGGACTTCAGAGATGTTTTTCTTTCTTTTTAAAAATGACCTTCACATAAAAGTAATAGACTTTTCAGATAACAAAGCCCAAAGCAAATAACATCCGACTCTGCAAATATGGTCATGAAAAGACCACAGAGACCTTTAGAACTGAGGTGGTCATGTGCTAAGAAAACTTAAAACATTTTAACAGAAGGCAAATAAAGCATTACCCAGGAAAACAGCAATCAAAGCAGCCCCAGGCTGAGGGCACAAAGAATCCTCGTCTTGCAAACATCCCCATTTAACTAGCACTCTGGTTGTTTTTAGTCAAGTACTTCCTGGGAGGAACAGAGTGGCCAGACACACAGCTTTTCTTGACAACAGGAAACAACGTCATTTTGGGTTGTGGGTTGGTTTTTTTTTTTTGTTTTCGTTATTTTTTTTTTTTTTGGTCTTTTCTTAGACACAGTGCAGAACCCAACACATTTCAAGGCCATATGATGTGGGTTTTTTTTGTAGAGTTATGAAGCAGCTGTGGGTTTTGGAAAGGAAATTGTATTCAAGCTCAACGGCGCTGCACAGTCCTGGTTTACCTGCCATATGCAAAGCGCCGGTCTTTGTGATGATCGCCAAAAGTGTCCCAAAGCCTGAGAGAAACACTCACTTCATCAACAACATCCCGGGAACGTTCCAAAACCTGCAGAGGAGAGAGAGCATCCATGCTCAGTGGCACCCAAAGGCTCCCCAGGGAAGGATGTCTGGGTCAGCACCCCTCAATGCCCACCCGACTTGCTTGCATTTAGTTTTCTCACTCCCCCTAACAGGACTTAACCTCAGCTCAGTTCTCCTCCTGGAATCACATGACTCAAACCCACCTCATTCAGGATCCCATAGCCATCCTCCCAAATTTGCGTTTTGCTTTTGTTTTCTCTTATGGTACTACAAATGCTAGTTTTATTTCGAATGTACAAATTGCCCCTTCCCTCCCTTTAAAATCGGACAGTCAGTAGCAGTGATGTGCCCTGAGGATTCTAAAGAAACTCTGTACATCTTACCTCCTGGCAGACCCGGTACTGGTCAATTGCCCACACGGTTGGTACATGGGTGGCCAGCAGCTGATACTGCGTTAGCGTTGTATTACATGCTCTGGCACAGATCAAGCGCGTCTTCCCCACGGCGTTGTCTCCCACGACCACACACTTGATGGTTTCAACGTTGGGCCTTTCGTAGTCCATGTCAGTGTCCATTTATAAAACCCTGTAAGAAGAGAGTAGATACCACATTAAAGACACCAGGGCTTTCCAGGGCAATCAAAGACCTGAGGGGTTCGGGCAGTTTTCTCTTTGTCCAGGAACTGCTTTGGAGGTAACCAAGCATAAGCAAGAAGTTTGGAAGTTTATACTAAGCCTAAGTGAAACCCAAGTTTTCTTTTTATATCTCACACAAGTACAAAAACACCGGATTGTTATTTTGACCCCAAACGGTTTATTCCGGTTAACATGTTATTTTCTCCTTGGTTTTCTCTAAACACAACCCGCCTACTGGAGATCCATCCAGACTGGTCAGCTGCTGGGGCACATTTATAGCTCACCAGCTACTCATGTTGACCGCTAGAGACTCATCACCTGCAGGTTAGCCTGAGACATGAGGGCAGAGGCTGCCGTGGCAGTACTAGTGCCCATACCATCACAGTCTTCCAATGATCCACTATCTCCTGCTGGAAAGCAGTTTTCTATAGGTTCTCAGCTATCATGGTGACTTAGAGGAGACTCCAAAGTGCAAGCAGACAGCACTACCCAACATTACTGAAGAGTGAATTGTAATTTTATTACTTGACACATGAACAGAATTAACTTTTTATATTTATCCATTTATTTATTTTTATTAATCAAGTTCATAAAAATATATTCCCAAGAGGGGCACCATTAAGCAATATATATTTTATTCTCCTTTCTGTGTTTTCATCAAGAAATCTGGAACATTTGGTAAAGAATGATTTTACCAGGATGCGGAACTACTTTGGAGTTTTCCTGAAACCATCAGAGCAGGTTTAAAGAGAGTTGCTGACCTGGTTTTCTGGATTTTCAAATACGGACGATCTTTCAAGAGGAAGAGGAAGGGCAGCTGCTAGCTCTGCTTTCCGCATCAGAGCCTCCACAAAAGGCAGAGCAGACTGCTTCCTGGGAGAGACCAGATGGACAGCCAACCATTTTAAGACTTTAAGATTTTAATGAAATAGAACTGCCCTTTTGAGGAAATCTATTGTTAAACTGAGAACACTGGTTATAGGATCATTTTTAAAGAGCCAATAATGGTTTTAATGGCCATAATGGTAAAGAAATTGTAGGACCTGATACGTAATGGGGACTCTATAAGTGTTTAAGTCAACTGATTTGAGAAAAGTGACCGTTTGCCTAGTATGAGAGTAAGAGAATAGAGGGAGAGATAGAAGAAAGAACATGAAGAAGAATGCTTTTTCAGTTTGGACCATCTGGACATGAACTTGTCTCCTGTAACACCATTACAAGAGGTGACAGACCAGAGGCTGAAGAATTATTTGATGGGAATGGAATAGATATGTGATGGAACAGATGTGTAATGAGGTTAGGACCTGATTTGTGGCTCCTACACAATGGAAGGGCTTAAAATATATAGATACCTGCCCCTCACCTGGCAAATGCTGTTCTGATGGTCTCGGGTGGGAAAAGAAATCTCCAATTCTGAGGATCAGCCAGGTGTGGTAACTCCTACTATTTATCGCTTTAAAATCTAGCCTTAACATTCTATGGTTTTACTTGTTCCATACTTAATAGTATAAGATGGTAAAAGCATGACTTTGGCATTAGATCAGTGGGTCTTAAGTAGAGAACATTAGCAATGTCTGGAGATATTTTTGGTTGTCACATGGGGTTGGGGGAGTGCTACTGGCTTCTAGTGGGCATAGGCCAGAAATACTGCTGAACATAGTGGAATGCACAGTACAGCTCCCTCAACAAAATGTCACAGTGCTGCCCCAAATGTCATAGTGCCGAGGCTGAGAAATCCCTGCCTTAGATGGATGTGAGTTTGAATCCTTGTTCCCATTTTGCAGTCATTGACTTGGCAAATTATTTCCTCTTTGTGAGCCTCAGCTTCCTTATCTGTGAGGTGGGAATCCCCTGAGGTTGTTGTGAGGATTAGGTGAACTGTTGTTTTCAGTCCCCGACACACGGATGCCTTCAAAAATTATAATCATGATCCCGAAGATGAATGCCTTTACATGACAGCAAAATTGAGTCAGGTGGAAGACCAGAATTAGATGCAAAATCATACACTTGATTTTGCACAAAGATCTATAAAAGGGATGGATATAGTCTAGAAGAGCAATTAAAGGGTAAGTTACTGAAAAACACAGAATGGAAATACAAGATGGAGCATAGGTGACCGTATACAGAGAAGGCAGAAAAGGTTTTGGGTAGGGAGAAGGATATAGTTACCTAAAAGATAACAGAGTTAGAAAGGTAGCTTAAAAATATTTTTAGGAGGCATTTCTAGATTCTGGAATGAGAATGGTAACACTTCTTAATAGTCTTTATAAGTTTTTGGGGATATTAGCATGGGATAGCCTATGCCAGAAAAACAGGTTCCATTTAGAGCCTCACACTCTGGAAACTGAGTTATATTATTTGGAATGTCCTAAGAGATGGAAGGAAAACCTCACTTTTTTGAGAGTGAATTTTATTTTATGTTTTAGATCAGTGGTCACCAACCTTTCGGACCTCACAGATCACCAGTGGTTCACGGACCACCAGTTGGCGACCGCTGTTTTAGATAACTAAAAGTCATAGAGAGCCAATCCCTAAAATTTGAGGAATGCTTGAATTTCGTCAAAATTGAGATATGAAAAAAAAAATAGAATTGGTTTTCTTGTTGGCTTGCAAAGTAGCTCTGATAGCAGCCCCAAAAGAGTAATCTTCTCTCCCCCCAGTAATTTGAAACATGGCAGTTTTGGTGGAATAGCTGTGTAGTTTTTTCAGGACACTACTTTGAGGGGGCCAAAGCTTTCCCAGCTTTATATTAAGGCTATGATTACAAAAATATCATTACTTATTTATAGACACATCTCATGCACAGTCCTTAAAAGAATTTCTGTGTCAAAGGTGAGAATAACATCAGTGAGTCCTCTAATCTCTAGCAATCTGCTAGAAAACGAAGTGACTGCCAAAGGTGCTGAACCTTGTGCAAAGGGGACAGCATATAAGGGAAATAAAAGGCAGGAATTAAATATTCATAGCCTAGGTCACTCACTTTAGACATGGAATTTAATTTTCAGGAACGGTTTTCTGGATTTTCAAATACTGAAGAACTTTTCTTTTGGGTAGAAATTTATTTTGTCGTAATCTAAAAAGCATTTTAAGGGCATGAAGTCACAGCCAAGGATGTAAACTCATGCTACACATGCATTGTTGTAAACTGGTTGTTCATCTGTTACATATAAACAAATGAGCATTAATCTATGGTGGTGATTATAAAAATATGAAATTTTATTTTCCTTTACGTGTTAGGGGCTCTAATTTATTCATATCTGGCACTCTTATGGTTGAATGAGCTCTTGGGACCATCTGGATAATGACTATCTGGTTTCTGATCTTTATTTACCTGGCATGAGAATAATAAATAGTATTCACTTAGCACTGTTAATAAATTTCAGCACCATATATCATGCAGATCTGTGCAGATACCCTTTTGCCTTTAGATACATATCTGAAGAGATAAGGAAAGTATAAAAGAGAAAGAAAACTTAGAAGAACTGACATTGGTAACCTGATACTATGGCAGCTTTGTAGTCTTCTTACTCAAAACTGACTTGAAGTTCATATCATACTTTCTCTGAATCTTCAGGGCACAGATGCTGAAGTTAAAATAACTGAAGGATCTACCTGCACACTCTGGAAATCAGAAGTGGTATGTTTTTAAGAACACTGGCAGGTGAATAAGACAATGTGGAAGATGACAAATAGGTGGTACATGGTGGCTACTGCTCTGGGTGCAGTGCCCACCATCCATAGGCTGACTTAGAACACAGTGGTTATGATTTTCTGGCTATTAATTAGCCCCATCTGGCTTGATTATCCCACATCTGCCCATGGCATTATTACTGTCATCTCCTGAACCTCAGGTCCCTCCTCCACATTCACCATCACCATCAACCCTTGTTGTGTCCACAAGATGATGCACCCCACACTCTAGCCTCACAGTTTCTTTACCTCTTCAACACCAGTGATATCTGCCACACTCTAATGAGCTATTCATACTTTTGGTCATGTGCCTGATATTGTCACCCAGAAACATTTTGCCTCTGAAATCTCAAATTTCAAAATCCTACTCTCTGAGCAAAAATTCCTACCTTCACAACTTGTGCTAGATGAAGTATGACCACTGCAGCAACTCTCATCAAGACATGGAATCTATTTCCTGTCCTCTTGAATATGAGTTCACCTTGTGACTCCTTGGCCAAACCCAAAAGAATGTGGTAGTGATGTTGTGAGGGGTCCAGAATCCCTGCACCTCCACCTTCTTGCTGTTGGAATGCTGTCCTGAGGCTATCATCTAATCTCACAAAATCATGAAAATAGATTGTAGTTTTAAGCCACCAAATTTTGGGTGATTTGTTATGCAGCAAACATACATTTGTTAACTGAAACATACCTATGGAAAAACTCCAGCATATTGACTCCTCCATCAAAAAACCCCACAAATACCAGGTTATAGGCCCCTGATAATGAGGCCTGATATGGATGGATGGATGGTATTTTCCAGTTGGGGTTGACAGGTTCATGCTAACTTCTCTCTTCATCATCACCTTTAACACCTTGTACTGCACTGCATGTGTGGTTGGCAGAATAATGGTCCCTCAAAGATATCCTTGTCCTGGTACCTATGAGCATGTCCCATTACATGGCATGGGGTAGAATTAGGGGGATCGATAAAATTAAGATTGCTAGTCAGTTGACCTTACTACAAGGAGATTATCTTGAACTAGAGGCCCGGTGCATGAATTCATGCACCAGTGGGGTCCCTCGGCCTGGCCTGTGGGATCGGCCTGAAACCAGCTTTCTGACATCCCCTGAGGGGTCCTGGATTGTGAGAGGGCACAGGCCAAGCCGAGGGACCCCACCGGTGCACGATTGGGGCTGGGGAGGGATGCGGGAGGTTGGCCAGCTGGGGAGGGACCGTGGGAGGGCTCCAGGGCGTTTCTGGCCTGTCTCGCTCAGTCC